AGGTGGACTTTACCGTCAGCACACTCTAATTTGACGAGACTCTTCCCTGGTAAGACCCTTTAGTCACTGACAGACAATTCTATTAATACATGTATGATGAAATTAAACTAAAGTAAGGACGACAGTTGTAGAAATGAACCATGTATTACATTGGTTGCCAAGTGCTGTCAATGGAAATGATAACAATTCTTAGGATTACGAGTTATAATTTTAACTTGATTGCAGTATTCAGCAATAGTGAAATGACTCCTTGACGGGCAACAGGAAGTGTATAAGATTTAGTAAAAATATAGACTTTTGATTTCACTGTGAAGTCTCCATGCCAAATGTATTACTGTTCACAAGTTAACTCTTAACTCTGAAGTGGAGAAAATTCTATTTGTCACTTACAAATATACGTTTAAATTTCGAACTTCGTAACTTATTTAACCCATCATACTGCGCAGATAACAATATCAAGCGACATTTCTTGATACGCAGTTCCAGTACATCATACCGCCTATATTATGTGAGTCAGAAAAGTTTTCAGTGCAAAATTTCATTTGAAAAGCATATAAAAACATAACTTGTCATCAAACCAACATAACAACGGACCTCGGCGCTACAATCAGCGGGTATATGCAATAAGGCCACTAAAAATTTTATCACCAGCCCTTTCCATCTGGCTGTTTATGTACAAGATTCACTGGTTTTCAAGCACAGATATTCAGGTGATTTAATAATTCACATTGTAGCACTAGGAAAACACAATATTCAGAGAAGACTTTTCAACAAATTTATTATCAGGCTGTACAGTGGTATATATATGATTTTTAAGAAGTTATACCCGGTTGCAACTACAGAAAACATCGGACAGGCAACAGATCGTTTATTGAGAAGATCAACAGATATTTATAGATTTCTGTGTGCATTACTACTCGCTATTTTAGCAGAGAAGCAACAACTTCTGATTGGTTGTTTTCCTGCTGAAGGTTATTCTGTACTGCTTGTGATCGTTGCTTACAAGGTTATCCATATATCTGTGAATCGTATGTGGACACGCCAAGTCTGCTGTGATTGGTTGTTGAGTTCCTCAAGGTTAGGCTTCGTTGATGTTTTTTCTCATGACCCCGATTCGGGACGTAAACACTGACATCAATTGTTGTCTACAATTTTGTCTTGCAGACAGCTCTCACCACACGGTGACGGGATTAGATCAAATGTGTCTATATGCTTGATTTTTTACGAGAACGTCGTCTGCTGTACTGTTTGAACTACTGTGTAATCCGACATAAATGATTTCTTGTCTCGGGAACTTCACCCTCAAGAGCATAAGCTAGCATGATCGTCTCTCATGCGCGACCATTCTTGTGCCCTCTACTGCATGGTTCTTCTAAAAATAGATAATGAATCAGCCAAGGGTGAATATGTGTCATTCCATTATGCGTAAATTTTGTTTTGATAAAGTCTCACAGTGTTATACAGTAATGTTTACTGATGACGTTTCGAGCACAGTTTATTGGTCATAATCATATCAAGGTAATCACACGACATCATCATCAGTAAACATTACTGTACAACACTGTGAGACTTTATCTAAACAAAATTTACCGATAATGGAATGGCACTCTGCCAAAGTGCACAAGTTTTATTCTTATATGAATATGTGTCAGTTAATCCCATAGGTGCTGACTTCATATTTCTGTCATGCCTCCTGAATGGTGATGGATAAAAGGGTTTTGGGTCCCCGTGTTGCCACAAGAGTAGAAACTGAATCTTAAAGAAGCAGAAGACTATGATATTGCAGTTTAACACTGTAGAGGTTGAGAAAGTAACCAATGCATAAGCACCGACAAAAATTGGATAGAGTGGCTTTCACTGTACAATTCCACTAAAACAGGCCAACTAATTTCATCAGTTATTCCCCTGGTAGCGCTCTAAATACCTCACATGCGACAACGACAGTGAAGTTTTCCACTCAGTAACTTCAAAGCAACATAATATAACCACAGCACAAAGCCAACGAGCGACAACACAATAACCTCAGTCCTCATAAACCCCGATGTTGCTTTTTCCAAATGATTGACATTGCGTGGCTAACTTCCGACCGTATGGTAAAGTCAGTTCACTCGCCTTGGGGCAGTTCAACTTCTTGTGAACAGCTTCTTCAAATTAATAACCTAGGCGCAGGCTCAGACAATGTAAAGACGTAGCCAGGTCATACGGTGCATTACACTTTGTATACAGAGAGCTGAATATGTTACATCCCAGTCTTCGCAAGTTGTCACAAATCTACCTATACGTACATCCTAAATTCTGCAGTATAGTTATTCTTTCCTTTTTAAAAGACAGGTCAACTTTCAGAACGTGCACACAAGCTCTATACGAGTAATAAAGAACCTGTAACACAAACTTTAGGTTGAAGAAAACAGGCTCACACATAACTTTCCATCGATAACCAAGTGCCGATCTGTGATATATTCAACAGCAGAAGGCATATATATATATGGAATGGATGATCACTCTGCAATGGACGGACCAGATTTAACTTCTTGGCAAATAGATTAAACAGAAATCTAGCCTGCAGTTAATATGAACCGAGAAGTCCCTTGCTGTAGTTAATCCTTAACAATTCTTAAAAATACCAAAGTCACAACTCTCAATGCTTTGCTTCGTTTAAAACAAGCAATAAAGGTTAATAAAGCAGGATTTAACGAATTCATCAAATTTCGGCAGAACTCGTCAGCTGAGTACTCTACATACACGGATACTTTTGAAATTACATTGGGAGATATAGGACTGATAAGTAAACAAACTACATTGAATTAGTCATGCAGAAAAACAGGTGCGAATGTTTTTCCAGGCCATGTTCAAATAGATAAGGGGAGAGAGTATGAGAGATCAAAATTAACATAAATTGCATTACGCTTCAATTACATCACTTAGATAAACAATTACACATTAGAGAATTTAACAAGAATTGCAAACAGAGTAATATCAATAGTAATAGTTATAATAACAATATTGCTTGTTTTAAATTCGTATCGGGAAATAAATGTTTGCTTCTTTTACCGACATATACCCTACTTTCATTGTTATCAAACTGGAAGAAAATACCTAGGAAAAGGTATGGAGTCAATCAATGTAATATAGAACACAAACGACACTTAAAAATAAAGCAACATCTTACACAGCTACAGGTGGCAAATGGCTGCTTTTATCGTTTAAGAAACCACCGAAAACGAGAAGCAATTCCTCATCATCAAGAATTAGACTAAAAGAAATCAACTGTATATGCAAAGAAACACTAAAATTTATTCTTACTTATTCGCAAAAAAATTTACTAAGTGAAATTTCAACTGTTGTGCCGAATAATTCCAGCCCTATGTTGTAGAAGGAACAGTGTATTGAGCCCGCGGTCTTTTTAAGTGGTGCGTTACATTTAATCAACTAGAAACGTGCTTTTCATCTTTACTTATAATTATGAGTTAATATAGCATCATCTTATGCTGTCGTTAAGGTGTATTTAGGATCGTTCAATTGTTCACTGCAGGATTAATGACCTTATAGCTTGAAGCTCTGGAAAGAACTATGGTTAATAATCTTTTGAAATCCCAGTTTTATTATCAACAGTGTTTTATGGGGACTCCATTTACTCACTTAAAGCCCCTTGCCACGAAATGTGCTGGAATTTATGTGTCAAAATGAGTTACTTGAAAGTTCGCGTGAATGAATATCACATGTACAGCTGGTGAGATGGCTCTGAGACAATCGAAATACCCATATTTTAAGCATGTTTGTTTTATATTACGGTTTTCATTCACATAAAATTGATGGAGCTTGTAATGTCCTTGTAAGCTTATACATTTCTATGACTTCTGCAAGTTTTTTCGCCTTACCGCCGCAAATGCACGTTAGTATTCGCATCTGTGTGTACAGTTCTTATTTCTAGACTGGATATTCATCACGAAGAGGTTAGTGTTACTAGATTTTTTATCTATAGCCTGCTTGTCTGAGGATTTCAGACTTCATATACTAAGGTCTCTGGCTGGGATTTTTTGATACCTATCACTTGATTTACAGAGTGATACGGTTGTCACAATTGATTGTTTCACTTCTCATTGGAAAAGACAAAAGACCAAGTCACTTTTTCATTGTAACTTATCTTTAATCTTAAATCATGATTTAGTAATTCAGATGGCATATTAAAACCGTGGTCTGTATCGTCTAGTTGGAAAGTGAAAATTCTCCTCTCATTTGTATACGGTATTGTCGCTTAATTGCGGACTTAAAACTCATTGACTTTTATGGTAACCTGGATTAATTGTATGGTCTAACATAATTTAGTGTACTTCTAATCTGTGTAAGACATGTAACAAACGTTTATTAATCAGTTACTTGGTAGGTATTCTTCAATTCAGATGTGCGTAAAGAAGAATGATGGTCAGGAAGGCTTCTCAGTGGAGCAGATGCATCTACTCCTTATGACTTACAATATCCATTAAAACTATATTATTTTTCGATATTACTATTCTTTTTGCCTTATATCTCAGTTTAATGTCTCTATTTCGCATTTCTTTTTTACTTTCTTCTCTTGCTTTGTGTGCTGAGTGAAGTGTGGCGACTCGAACTGCTGCACATCAGTGGAAAGTTTTATTTTGGAACCAGTCAGTCAGTCATTTTAGACATAAATCAAATTTTAGACCAGCTACAAGCAAACGAGAAGTTTCATGGCTCGTGTCAACAATTTGTAATGATGTAATTGTATCATGGGTAATGAGTTACTGAGGAACCCGTAGAAGTTGTCTCTCTCAGCTTTTAATACGTTCTAAGTGTATTCCCCCCCCACCCAATTTTAGGATATCTCTGAGCCAAAATGCATATTTAAACTTAAGTTTTCTGTATAAATTTAATTATGTTAACTTTCAATCATTTGTAGATTATTTTCTTCCGTCTCTTGTAATATCCACCTTGTGCTGAATTGCAATCAACTAACGTAAAGTAGTTTCACCAGAAAACGAATGTCGTGGTTCCGAATGCAATTGCTTAAAACTCCTAAATACCTTTGTAAACGACTTCTAAATACACATGCTAAGTTGAGTCCACTGGCTGATGCTTTCAACTACTGCCACTTAAATACGGAGAACGAATTGTTAAACAAAACTACAGGTTGTTTTGTGCAATAATGATATCCTAACTTTCATAGGACTTTTTCGTCAACCGAGTTTAATATCTCCACATGGTTTTCAAAGTCTTGTCAGCTCCACTATGAAAGAGTGTCACATTCTGTTAAATGAAGCTATTTCTGAAACCAGGGTTAGAAAGATGGTTCAGGTTGGTTTAATAAGAATATTTCTAATGTTAATTATTCCTTTCGTTTTTGTAACTTTTTTCCATTGCGGTTTGTTTTTATAAAGTGTCATAAATCTATGACAATACGGTTTGTTGAAGCGTCAATCAGCTCACCAAACGGAAATGAAACTAAGCCGCTATAGATTTGTGCGTAGTTCTTAAGGTTTCATAAGACGACAGGTCATCTTTACCACACCAATGATAATGTGTACGTATGTATTACTTAAAAACCATGAAATCTTATGTATGCCGCTTCTTGCTGCATAATCCTTATGCTTCAGAGATGCTTTCTGGTGAATCAAGTGAAACTTATTAATTTTTCACCTCTGTCGTTCATAATGGGATAATCGTGTGCTTATCTACTTTACGCTTTAGAGAGTCGGAGCACGTCATATATTCTAAAATACAATAATTGGACGGGGAGTTAATTGTATTTCATCAGCTGAAAATGACAACGTGAGTAACCCAGCTAGATTGGTCTCTCTAAAGTTACTGTAAGACCCACTGCCTCATCAACTGAAAGCTTTGGGAATGCGAACAAAATATTGAATATGAGATTCACAAAACTCCCTTAAGTGGGATTTATTCATAAATAGGTGGAGACTTTGTAGTGCCGAAAATCAACAGTCTCATTGCCAAAATCTTTCCAAAATTGCATTTTTAAATGATTTAGCTGAAGTCCAGAGTCGGTTTTTATAATGATATTTTTCTACAGGCTGTTATTAATCGGAACAGAATAAATTGTTAGTTTGAGGATATGCATTCACACAAAAACGACACATCACAGAATTAATGAATTAAAAAAAATATTTTGAAGCACCAAAGTAGTTGTAGAAGTAGTACTGAAACCCATAGAACATCGTGTGGTCAATTTCACATAGTTTTGCCCAAGGTAAGCACTGTTGATCTTCTTATCGAACCGATACTATTGGTAATCAGTTTACTGTTTTATGGATTATTTACTCTTCAGTGTAGCACTCAAAACTAGTTAGTGCTAAACTGTTTTCATATCGGAAAATGTCACTATCCCTCGAAGTTTTCATAATAAATCTACAGTTATGTTCTACCTTGCTTAATGCAAAAGATCCTATCAGTAAGGCCATGTAGACGATGTTAGCATCCTGACTTTCACACTTTACCACAATAGCTTTTGAGACTCAGATGATTTAGGCTCTTAGTCACACTGAACAGCTCTTGGTGAATTCTCCTTCATTTGAGTTAAAACGTCAAAGCCTTAGAACTTAATACCCTCACCACCTGATAATTTATTATGATTTATCATCCAGCTTTCAGTATTTCACAATTTCTCGAAATTCCCTTCAGATATTGGACGACATTTCAGACAGTCTGTGTCGAGTTGCTGATTTATCCGATTGTATGCGAATGCTTCACCCTGACGAAGCGTATCGTTATTCTGCTCAAAAAGCCTGTCAATCAATAGGTCAACTGGTTGAAGAGTTGAACACTAACTCCGAACTGTATAATGCCTCTGTACGAGCGTGTAGATCACCGCATGTAAATAAGCTAAGTCCAGATTTACACATGGATAATGTCGATAAACGTGTGCTTGACTTATTTGTTGCTGATTTCGAGCTCTCCGGTGTTCAACTGCAAGATCCCAGTCGTCATCAACAATTTGTCCGTGCTGCTTCACTTGCTTTAAACTATGGAGCGGAATTCATTGAGGTAGGTAATTTCGAAATTATTATTAGTGGGATATTTCTTTTCCTTCGTTTGATAAATTTGTTTCACTGTTTAAAGGGTAAAGTGTGTAGGCTACTTAGCTTAGCGGTGGTGCTAATTATCGAAAATGGTTCAAATTCTTTTGCAATGTTATAGATGCACTTACTACTACTAATTGTATAGATCCTGGTAATACACGTTTGTTTAAGGTTCTACGCTGATTTTTCTGTTGCTCATATGAAGTAGAATAAAAGGAGGGATGGTTGAAAATGAAGATTTAGACAAGAAAATAGTGTGATCCTGAATAAGTCTTTTCTGTTATATATGCAAGATTAGATTGAGAAGAATAAGAAGTTCAGCAAAGATATCTTTTCGGCGATTTCATTTTCAAAAGCTGTACAATCGCATTTAAATACATAATTTTACATGGAGACAATTCTTGTTTGATTCTACATAATTATGACGGCGAATAAAAGGTGATAATTATTTCCAACTAGATATGGTTTTACGAGAGGCTTAGAAACAAAATTACGCAGGATTAGAACGGATATCAAGTGTGTAAAAATGAGCATGGAAACAAAAATTGATATAATAGTTTTAACTTAAAATGGAAGTTAGGAGGTGTGAATATAGATTACAAGAGCCTTAGAAACACAAAAAATTGCACAGGATTAAGATATAATTGTAAATTTTTAAAACGGATTATAAATGTGAACAGGAAAAGCATGGAAACAAACTTAAAATAACTGTTTTTATAACTGGAAAAAAAATGGGGTGAATCGAATGAAGACTGAGGGAGTAAGAATCACACACATAGCGAACGAAAAGGGATCAAAAAACAAAAACAAAAAAACAAAAACGGAAGCTACGGTAACATACCGAACTAAGTCCATGGTAGTTGTAGAGGTTGGACTAATTTCTTTTGGACACACAGCTCCGGCTTCTCGATGCATATTGCGAGGGCTTCTGCAGTACAGAGAAGTCGGAAACAAACTGCTTTCGGTAGGTTTCTGTTGACTTTGTAAATTACTTTGAATGAATCAGATGAAATGTTGTGGGAGGTATTGATCAGATGCTCAATAATGGCACTTCTGATTGAACCGGTGCCTCCTCTTTGCAGCCACGCTGGGTAGTGTTCTCTAACACGTCTTGAAAGGACGCGCATACAACGACCTATGTACCCTGCTCCGCACGAGCAGGTGAACTGGTAAATGCACATTGAATTGGTCATATGCGACAGTTTGTCCTTCCCATTGCTCCGAAGAAGTGGGCGGCTAGAGAATGTCACTCTTAGAGTTGCTGCCGGAAAAGTCTTCTTCTTATTCGCCGTCATAATTATGTAGAATCAAACAAGAATTGTCTCCATGTAAAATTATGTATTTAAATGCGATTGTACAGCTTTTGAAAATGAAATCGCCGAAAAGCTATCTTTGCTGAACTTCTTATTCTTCTCAATCTAATGTTCCAATGGGTATTTTCCACGATATATGCAAGAAACAACAGAGCTGATAATATTAATTCGCTGCCCAAACCTAGTAGGTGAAACGGGCTATATAACTACAGGTAGAGTATAAACTAATAAGCTATAACTACAAATGACTTCTAACCTTTTACCAGTTTTTCTTGTAGTAGCACTTTTTAAAGACCACTCTACTTCTCAAGTGTCTTGTTATGTTAATAATAATAATAATAATAATAATAATAATAATAATAATAATTTATATTTCGTATAAACGGGCAAGTATACAAGAAATGCATACCATTTTTACAGGCATGATCAGTTATGTTATAAATTACAATCCTGAAGTATCATAAATTAATGCTTTTTCAAAAGTTTAAATTGTTTAATTATTGTACAAGCAATCAGAATAGGTCCTTATGAATGTTAAATTGTAAACTGTTTACTAAGGCCACCATCAAAGTTGAGCGACAACCCAAACTTCGTTCCGTTTACTGCTGATCGTTATGGTCAACCAGTGAACAGCGTATATCTGGTGAGTGCTATGCCGCCACGTGATTGAACGCTATTTCAGGAAGAGAAGGAAATTCTGCGCAGCTGCAAAATGGCATAAAATGCGATTATGAATAATACATTATTGGAAGTATATTTACAAGATAAATACAAGAAGAAGAAGAAGCTATATAGTACTTGAAATGATAGTATACACTTGCAATGTGTAACGCTAACCATATTGGTCTTATCATGGAAAATATGATGTTTTCGATGAAGATATAGTTTTGTTCAAACATTGGTTTTGTTGTGTTTTTAATCAAAGCAACCAGACTTTAAGCAAGCAACAAATATGAACAAAGAACAAGTTTTAGCTTTAATAAGGGCCTAGGTAGTTAAGATCAGATAGAGTATAATAGTGCGTAAATAAAACGATTATTGTGAGGTAGGTAAGTAATATGTAAGTGAGGAGTGAATTCAATGGTCTGGAAAATTAGAAGCCGTAGAACAAGCTGACCTGTAAGATGCCTGACGAATTTCTGTAGGGCCCAATGGGTAGCATCTTGACAAGAAGCTGAACAGGCTTGCACAAGGTAGGAGCAAAAGCACTTTGTTTTATTTATAATTTAGATCTGTTCAACCCTTATTATTTTGTTTCGTTGAGGGTTCAGACTCATGTTTAATTCTCGAGCTGTCAAAAAATGCATGTTGCTGTCCTACAGATTGGAGCGATTCACAATTGTGACCACTACCATATCTGCTGATCAGCATGCGCCACCCTCCCTCCTTAGGACATCTTCCAAAGCGAAATAGATCGTTATAAAATTATTAGTTTAAAATCTATTTTTATATCTATTTTATTATAGCTTGATTCCACACAGTATTTTGGTACAAGTATGAAATTTTCAGCATGTGATATCGGTAGCCCAAATTTAGCAGGCCGACCATAGATATCAGGTGTGCGTCGGTGGGGGATCGAACCTCGGACCATGTACATGGTCGGCGAGAGTCCTAACCACTGTGCCACCGACGCACATTATCTTTTAACTACTGTACTACTGTGTTTTGACTGGAAGCGCAACTGACTGACCGATCTCAGCATAAAACTTTGTACAGAAATGCAGCAGTTCAAGGTTCCACACTCCATTTAGCACACAAAGAAATTCAAAAAAGAGGTTCGAAAGAACAGCTTTTTCTGTTCTCTATAAAGAAAAAATAATGCTGAAGTTATTATTACTCCTATGCAAATTCCACACAATCGCAAAATAGCATATCAAATGGTGTTTGTATGGTTTCAATAACGCAAAAGTATCACTTCATTGAACTTCTTTTTTTTTTTTTAAATTTATGTATTTTCAATTTTTTCTATAAGCCATCTTCCACATGATATTATTTGCTGAATAGCATCTAAGAGTGAAACCTTGGGTTTTTTCTTATTTGATACTTATTGTCTTGGCACAATGTGCATATCCTAGATTGTACAAATACAGTGTCCAAGTTGAATTCTTGACAATGTCGTAAACTATGTTTGACGTGCGCATATGTTAACCAAAATTGGTAACTTCGGTTTAGTATAACGGATAGCGAAGAAATAGAAGTACACACAGATAGCTCTGTTACACTACTTATAAGGCCGTGTGCAGATATATTTGAAATTTTCACCAGACATAGAAGAGATCTAAAGAACGTTGAATTTTTCACCTACCTGATCTGTGGAACGTTGTCGTTTCAACTACTGGTGGCACGGAATATGATGTTAAAGGCGGTTAGGATCGGAAAATTAAAGCAGGCGATCATTAGTCTGAAATCGGTATGGAGATCCATAGGTCTCACCACAAGGAGTAACATCTGAATTTTCAAGATTAATGTCAAGTTAGCGCCTTTGTATATTTCGAAGACTTGGCGAGCACATTTCCAAAAGACTGTAGACTTTCATCAACAGCTGTCTTCGCTTGATAGTGAAGATCAGATGGCGGGTCAAAGAGAATAAGCAACAAGGCAATCTAGCAGCAAACGTTCCAGGGACCTGTTGCTCATAAAACAGGCAGAAGGAAACGGAGATGGGTCAGACATTCTCTGTAGAGACCGTTGAGTGGTGGGACCACAGATGGGAACCAAAGAGTTGGGCTTTTGAGGGTGACATGGAAGAGACCATATCAAGAGGGAGGGAATAAAATTTATTTATTTATATATTTATCGTACAAGTAGTACTAGTGTTATTGACATTTCTATTGTTTCCATCTCTGTAATATTCAGTTCTCTGCATTTTCTATGAATCCACATTATTATAATCTAGGCGTGTCATAGTCCCGTATCATTTCCATCGAAATTTATACCAAATAGCCAATCGAATTCAATTGAACTTATACACCCACTTACTGATCATCCAGATCCTGCTGTGCGTTTGGCCACTTATCATGCTTATTATGCACCGATAGACGGTCAAGAGAAACGCTTAGAACAGCTTTTGAATGCAAGACATGAAATGGCACAGTAAGTCCTTTTCGTTTTGTTTCTTTTTTTAAATTTCTGTTGACAGCATTCACACTTACCAAGTATACAATTTATATGTTGGTTTGATTGTGTATCCAAAAACTGTTTATGGACTAAGTGTAGATTTGCAACTCTCTCATATCAGTGCTGAACTTGTGGATCAACCAGTGGATCAACAAATCGTACCCCACTTGACCTGCCAAAGTTTTAAAAGCCAAATATTGTATCTAGCTTTCAAATTAGACACACTTCTAGGCGTCCAACAATTGCCATATTTCTTAACTTGAAGGCGGCCTTCGACTCCGTGGATCGAGAGGTACTATGGCAATGTTTGACTGTGAAGGGAGTGCCAAGAAAGTACATTGCACTAATCAAGGCACTCTACTCAAACTCACGTAGCCATGTAAGGGCTTATGGAGGGGAATTGTCATCTGAATTGATAACAACCAGTGGTGTCCGTCAAGGATGTCCACTTTCCCCTTTTCTGTTTAACTTCATCATAGATATGCTAATGGAAGTATCCTTAATTGAACTTAACGACTTAGGAATCGACTTGTTACCAGGGAATAGTCTTATGGATTTAAAATACGCAGACGACATAGTCCTGTTAGGGGAGGATGCTGAAAAAATGCAGAGTCTTCTGAACACCTTGAGCAGCAATCTTCGTATGTTTGGCATGCGATTCGCCCCTGTAAAATGTAAGGTGCTGTTACAGGACTGGACTACGTCAACTCCTAGCTTCGTGATAGGGAGTGAAGTGATAGAACATGTTGACCACTTCACTTATTTGGGAAGTTGTATCAGCACCAACGGATTGATTGGTGACGAAATCTCAGCACGGATCCAAAAAGCTCGAGCTGCTTTCGCTAACTTACATCGTCTCTGGCGTAGGCGTGACATCCGGCTATCAACCAAGGGACGTGTGTACTCCTCAGCAGTTCGCTCCGTCCTTCTCTATGGCTCTGAAACATGGCCAATACGAGTTGAACACATGAAAAGGTTGACTGTTTTTGATCACAGGTGTCTACGATCTCTTTCTCGCCTTAGGTAGTATAATGAGGTAAGTAATGTTGACGTTAGGCGTAGAGTGTTGGGCAAAGAGGGAAAATCAATCGAAGAGGCTACAAAGTCACATAGATTGAGATGGCTAGTTCACGTGCTGTGCATGCCTAACCATCGCCTCCCCCACCCCGACGGGCATTACTAGCTGATATAGGTGCAGGTTGGAAAAGAGTAAGTGGTGGCCAAACAAAAACATGGCCTCATCAATCCATGAAATCCTTGATAGTTAAACTAAGTCAGGTAGGGAGGGAGATGCAGACTTCCGGGTTGGGGCCCTCTGGACTCCAAGAATCAATGGCTGGAGACAATAGGTGACATGGCTCAAAATCGTTGTCAATGGCTTACGCAGATGTATTCAGTCTCTGTAATCTTTCATATTCCTTTCTACCATTACTCATTCTGTTTCACTCTTATACTTGTCAAAACTCTATTGATTCTCTTCACTCATTTTCTTGTCTACCTTTGTGTGGTATTTGGAACGTCGCAACTCGAACTGCTGCACTTCGGTGCCAAGTTCTATGTTGAATCCAACCAGCCAGCCATCTAGCTTTCAATTGATAACTGTGTCTCATTGCTAAGATCATGGATATTCACATAATTGCTAAGAGGTAAATTTTGAAATCACAACGTTCATTTTACGAGGTGAGCACGTTACCATTATTCAACCAGTAAGTTTTAATCCAGTAGCTCATCAGATTTCACTTCTGTCAATTCGTGGCATAGCACTTCTGCCGCCCAATGTCATCGGCAATCACCTGTCATCACATCTGCTTCGGTCGACTGCATAGATTATGACTTCTCAGTAGGCAGAATTCCAGGGAGTCCACTCACACTAGTCAGTCACTATATAATTGGCGCTAGATCACAAACTGACAAAAGTTAGAAGTCATGAACCACGGGATTTCGAGTTAGTACCTGAATGGCAACATGCTCGCATCGTAAACAGAAAGTCCTGGACTAGTTGCCTGGTGAGTGTTATACTGCAGAGAGGAGCCCTTAAGTAGGCCAAAAAAAAACCGGTCTAATGCTCTTTGCTTTTCAATGTTTTTGTAGGCAATTTCCGTTTGTGACAAAGTCTATTTTATTAAATAATTGTTACTTAATACTACCGGCTTCATAGAGAATTACTCCATTATGGATAAGATTTTATTTTGATAAATCACACAGTCTTATACAGTAATATTAACTGATGACGTTTCGAGCACAAATTATTGCCACTCATAATCATATCAAGTTACTCACACAACTTCTTTCCTTCATTTATATACATGTGTGGAGTAGATTAGATATTGGAATAAAATTCAGTATTAGATAATGTACATTCAGAAATAATAATATGAGTGTTATTGATCAATTACAATCAGATGGGAAAAAATAGGACGAGTGTTTTTATAGTCATAATAAGCAACTTGTAAGAATGTTGTAATGTGCTTGAAGTGAAACAGAATTTTGATATTATTTATTATCCTCCTCTGATTTGACTGACTGGTGGTAATAATATCTTCCATATTTCTGGTATTTGCATTGAGTCATTTCTGTTGCATGTGTTGGGTGTAGACTCAATGAACCAGGCAGGATTCAGTAATCAATCCCTCTCTCTCCACCTACACAGATTACTTCTTAGAATCTTAACCCTCTCCCACCATGCTATTGTGTGGTTTTGTGTTAATGCGTGTAGTGCAATTGCTGAGCTTTTTTCTGAATTACTCATCTTCTCGGAGTCGGTCATTCTTACCTTAGCTAAATTCTTATGTTCCGACAATCTGATTACCCCCGATCTACTAGTTCGACCTATATAGTTGACCTCAATCACAGTCGTTGCAAGGTATTTTGTAAATTATATTATTCTGTTTAATTGGATCCACCGGGTCTTTTAACCTACAGAGCTTCTCCTAGCTGAGTGAGTTTGTAGGTTTGAATGCCAACACCCTAGTTCCTGCTTTATTAAGAATCCTACATAGGGCCTCAGATGTCCATATGTCCATATATGGTATAACAGTAGATGACTTATATTCTCTCTTATTTATGTTATCATTACTAGTTTCACAATTATTTTTAATTTGCTTTTGGCCTTTTTCGATCTTCCTAATGAATTTTATAGGATGGTTAGTTATTTGACACCAACGCTTCTTCTTTTGTCTGTTTTATTTCATGATTTAGGTGTTTTCTTGTGCTACTTAGTGCTATTGCTCGGTTTGTTAGACACTTACTTAACTAAGCCTGCCTTTACAGATAACGACGGATGAGACGAATTAAAGTCTAAATATCTATTAACAGAATGTGTTGGTATTGCTTTTTATAAACGCTAGTGTGTAGTTTGCCTTCTTCTATTCGTTTTATTTTACAATCTAACATCATGGCTAATTCTCCTTGTTCATTTTCCGATTCAAATGTGAATTTTATTCCCCCTACTAGTGAGTTTATATGTGTCAAGAAGCTAGAGAGAGAGAGATATGTTCTGTTTTTAACACTGTGTGAGAAAGTGTCATCCACATATCTCCAGCATATTTTTGGAGTAGGATTAAATGTATTAAGAATAGCTGTATCTTGATAAGCGTGATTCTGATTACTTTCTTATTCAGTTTTAACCTTCTTGATATGTGAATATCTTCGCTTCTCTTTTCTTTTGATCTGTTTCATCAAAGAATTGCACATATGCTATGGCAGCAGTGTAAATTAGGAACTTTCATACTTAAGCACTATGAAACCCATATTTTATGGTTAGTATAACATCACGATTCCACTAAAACTAACCTATATATGAAGTCTTATCGCTCTCACTGTCATTCTCTGTAGCTCTGTTAGTATTTAAAAACTACTGCTAACGCTTTACCGAAACCGCTGACTACTGTCAGTCTTGTATTTCGGCCGTGCAAGCGCATACCTACTTTGACTGGACACTAGTAGTAACTAGTGTGACTTGTCTATCCCTTTGTTTTGCGCAGATGGAATTCTATCAGTCAGTCAGGTTTGCAATGTGGCCACCATTCTGGGTAGCTCGTCATCTCGGTGGACACTGATTCGATGATATTCGATGGTTACAGGCAATCGGCAGGCAGAAAGCCTTGCTTGACCTAGGTTTCGTGCCAGTTGGCACTCACCAGTCAGCAAGGCGTATTTGCAACCTTGAAGGAACTCATGTCCCTTCTGAGATTCGAACCGGCGTCACCCAGTGCCACCTGCTGTCAGAGGCGTTACCACTGAGCTATTCAGGCTCATTAGTATATGATTAGTATAGCGATGGATTTTATTGAAGGTAACAAAACACTCAGTGTATACTATGCCATCCAAAGTACTATGGGCATTCCTTTGTCCAGAGTCTAACCTTCATCTTAAAAAAAAGAACTGTGAATATGTTTTCTAGCCTAAGTACCTTAAAACTCATAATTTCTTCCCGTCTCTTGCAGATTTTCTTTGCACTAGATGGATTATTATTATTATTATTGTTTCCTTTAATTCCTAGAGGAACATAGGGCTTCAGCCGTGCGTCTCCATTCCACTTGCTTCTCTGCTAGAGTCTTCACCTGGCTCCAAGTCTGTCCACACGTTTTCATCTCCTCTTCACATGACCTCCTCCAAGTTACCCTCGCACTGACGACCGACTCGCCGCTTCTCTTTCGGGTTCCACTCGAGCAATGGCTTGTCTAGTGATGTCACTTGATGGTTTCTTTGCTCAGAGTATGACCAATCCATCTCCATTTTCTCCTGCCTATTTGTTTCACAATCGGTTCCTGCTGGGTTGGTTCGCTCATTGCCAGAGATCTCTGTTGCTGATCTTTTCTGGCCGGCCGTCTGATCTTGAGTATTGAGCGAAGACAACTGTTAATGAAGGTCTGTAGTTTGTTTGAGATGCTCTTTATGACGCGCTGGCCAAGTCTCTGATCCGTATATTAAGTAGCACTGACTTCACATTGGAGTTGAAAATCCGGATCTTATTTTTCATGTTGGGTGCTGTTGACCTCCACACAGACTTGAGCGTAGTAAAGGCTTGTCTTGCTTTTCCAATCCTTGCTTTGATATCCTCGTCAGTTCCGTCTGCCTGTAGTTGAAACGATACTTCCCTTGTCGGTAGGTAAAAGAGGTTGTTTCTTTCAGGTTCCTTCCATTTATGCTGATTGTTGTCTGTTGTTGTTGTTGTTGCTGTTGGTGGTGTTGCCCAGGAATCTTCATCACCTCTGTTTTCTCCTTGTTCACCTGAAGTCCTATCTTCTCTGGATACTTCTTCTGCCAACGTGTTGCTTTTCACTTGCATATCTTCCAGTTTGTGGGAAATCAGACATATATCATCGGCGAAGTACAGATCCTCCAAGTTTTTTGTGTGAGTCCATTTTATGCCTGTTTCAGACTAGATGGATTAGTATTAACTAATCATGGTGCATTGTGTTTTGTGATAGAAATTGGTTATGCACTATGATAGCTTAACTACTTTACTAAATATTCATCTTGAGGTTCTGGGTGTCTGTGAAAGTTGCAGATTAATTGAGCAATATTGATGATAGGTGTCGAGCGCTGAGTAAGGAGGGGTAATCAATTGACGGGATTGAGATGGTTAGGACACGCCTATCCATCCATCTGCTACCTTGACGGTCAGTGTTAGCTGACATGGGATAAATCAAGTTGGAAAAGAGCCAGTGGTTATCAAACGGTAACATGGCCTCATCAGTCAGTAAAATCCATAGGAAGATGTAGACTTCCTTGTGGGGTCCTCGGGACAGTAAACACCAATGGAGGCTGGAGACAATTGGTGATATGGCTTGAAATCGTTCTCAATGGCTGACGCAGATGCATCCACTCCTTGTGACCTATAATTTCCAATAAAACTATATTGTTCTTCGATATTACTATTCTTTTTGCCTCATATCTGTGTTTACTGTCTCTATTTTGCATTTCTTTTTACTTTCTCTTGTTTTGTGTGCTGAGGGAAGTGTGGCGACTGAAACTGTTGCACATCGGTGCAAATCACCAGTCAGTCAGTCACTCAGTCAGGAAATCCCTTCCAGATATATAAAGGTTATTCGTAGTAATAGTCAACTCTCTGAAGTACCATTCTCTTCAGATATTTTTGCTACTTATTTCATTCAAATAACTACTCACTGGATACAAACATAATCCATAGCTTTCGGTGTTTTTTTTGCAGAGCCGCTGGTTTTAAAAATTATGCTAAACGTTCTACACTGCATAGTCTGGCTGAAACACCTGAAAATATTGAAGAATTTCTACAGCATGTTTGCCAGAAACTTCATCCGATTACTACAGAAGTAGTTAGAGAACAATTTTTGCCAATTGTTAAAAGCTGTTATCAAAAAATGGTTGACAATAAACAAAATCACTATGATACTAATGTGATTCGGCCTAGTGATTTACCTTATGTCTTGGGTGTTAAACGTAATGCCATATACAGTAATGTAAGTCGTATCATTTTGTATATATATATATACTTTCTATAAATATCTGTACACACATAGCTCTCAGCAAATCAGCATATTTCTTATGACCACGACTATCGAAATTCGTGAGTGTGGGTTATTAGTACACAACTTTACAGTACAAGTAAGCGCTTTCCAAGCCACGTGCCACTAGGACTTACTGTCAGCCGACCCGGTTTGTTACTGAATGTGAACCCAGAAGCCTCCCCTTTCAGACACGAACAGTACATCTACTTAGGAAACATGTGCACTAGAAACCCCCTTCTCATGTTAACTCCAACTGTGTAACTCCATTATGGATATGATTTTATTTTCATAAATCACACAGTGTTATACAGTAATATTAACTGATGACGTTTCGAGCACAAACTATTGCTCATAATCATATCAAGTTACTCACATTTATATATATGTATGGAATCGACTGGTATTTGAATACAAATCAATATTTGATCAATAACGCTCATATTATTATCTCTGAATGTACATTATCTCATATTGATTTTTGTTCAAATACTAGTCAATTCCATACATATATATAAATGTGAGTAACTTGATATGATTATGAGCAATAGTTTGTGCTCGAAACGTCATCAGTTAATATTGCTGTGTAACACTGTGTGATTTATGAAAATAAAATCTTATCTATAATGGTGTATCTAACGCATATTTTTCTTTATTACGTAACTCCTTTACCATTGTATGCATACATTTATTTTGTTTAAACTTGAACTGCTTGTATAAAATCTATATAAGCGCAATTTTCTGAGCACTGTTCACTTATTGTAGAACTTTTTGTCAACTGACAACATGTAAAATTTGCAAGTATGTTAAAACTTTTCTGTACATAAACCTCATAATTTATTTAGGCTGTAAGCAGCTGATGAGAAGCCAACGAAATAAACAATGATGGTAGCATTTTATTCTGTAAAAGCTGTTGTTGTTCTTGCTTTATTCAAATCCAAAAGACCCAATTATTAATCATAGCATCACAGTAAGAGTTGTGCCTGATACTGACTGGGCTTCTAAAGGTTTTCAACCTTTCACTCATTCGAAATGTAGTAAAAATTATAAACGATCTGAAAAAAATAAGTAGTGAAAACAAAACACGTAGATCATTAATGCCTGGATGAAGATTATCCATGAATTGAAAAATACGTAGTACCAGGTGTGGCCCAGCTCAGCTCAGCTAATACTGAGATCTGAATATTTTTGACTTTCAAAGTAAAACTGTGGTGAAATGTCACTTCGAACTGTGTAAATTGTAAACCCTTAAGTTAATTTGTTATTTGCAGATTCCATCAAAATAATGGGACAATAAAATTATATTGTATATATATATATATATATATATATATGTGAAATTTGAGGAACGTCACTTATTCCACTTGTCCAGACAGTATCGTTTAAACTACAGGCCGACAGCATTGATGAAGCTTTCATTGGCAGGATCGGAAAATGCAAGACAGACCTTGACTACTCTGAAATCATCAGTGTGAATACCTACTGTACTCAGCGTAAAAATCAAGATTCAGATTTTCAACACTAACGTCAGATCAGGTGCTCCTTCAAATAGTTCAGTGACTTGACTTGTTGCGCGTCGCCAAGAGCATTTTGCACAGGCTTCAGGCTTTCATCAACACCTGTCTCTACTTCACACTAAAGATCAGACGACTGAAAAACCTGTTGCCCAGCAGTTACGCAGTAGTAAACAGAGATGGACTGGTCGCACATCGAATAGACCATTGAGAGTGACATCATGTGCCAGACCGTCGAGGAGAAGCCGAATAAGAAACGATGAGTTGGGTGTCCGAGGGGGGTAGAAATGAAAAAGATCGTCTAAGGGGTAGATGAAAGTCTATGGGCGGAAAACAGGATGAAATGGTTATGTGCTGTTGAAGCCCCATGAACTACTCGGAACCTAAGGGAATAATAATAATTATGATAAGTGTTACTCGAAGTTCCTGACTGATTCTACCACTCTTGTAGTCTTCCTTTGAGGACATCATCTGATGCGCCATCCTTTGCTCTTTTCTGCCTTTATAATGACACTTGTATTCAACAGTCGAAATCTGTTCTCAAATAATTATTTTCGAAATTTTTCAAAATTCCTTTACATCTTCTTATCTTCTCTTTGTCAACCACAGCACTTAGCTGACTACTTTTCGTTGGGTGCGTGTATGGAAGGTGTGAGTCAGCTAGCAAATTGTTTATTTGGATTACGCCTAGAAGTTGTACCAGTTGAAGCTGGTGAAACATGGCATCCGTCTGTTGTCAAAGTTAATGTCTATTCATCAAATGACAATAAAAATAATTCAACAGAGCCTATCGGAACAGTCTATTGTGATTTACTCGATCGTCCTGGTAAACCGGCACAAGTAAGTTGGCTTATAATCGTGGACAGTATTCTCAAGTGATAGTTTTGTTTGTTAAGGTAACATATTATTTTTTTTTGTGTGTTCGTTATATATTGATCATGTATGTACTTTTCTTAACTTAGGTGTGCTAAACCTTTTATGGAAGTCACCTCTCTATCTCAACTTCATCGACTTTGAAAAGGCCTTCGATAGTGCAGCTTCGATCGAGAGGCGATTTGGCAACTACTTCGCTACTACCAAGGGGTGCCACCGACAATTATACATCTCATCCAACAGCTGTACGACAATGCTGCATGCCAAGTAATCCACAACGGGAAACTTACGAAATGCTTCGGAGTGAGGACAGGAGTAAGACAAGCTGGCTTCCTACTATCGTCAATGATTTTCCTGATTGCAGTAGATTGGATAATGCGACAAACAGTTAGCGGGCAATGAGGAAACAGGCATGAAATGGACTCACACAAAATACTTGGAGGATCTGGACTTCTTGGTATTAGATGGTTGGAGGCAATCGGCTACAGGAAGCCTTGGACCTAGGTTTCGTGCTAGTTGGCACTCATCAGCAAGGCGTATCTGCAACCTTGAAGGAACTGATGCCCCTTCTGAGATTTGAACCCGCGTCACCGAGTGCTGCAGTCACCTAGCATGGTGGCCACATTGCAAACATGACTGATAGAATTCTGTCTGCACCGAAGATAGGACTAGACACATTACACTAGTTACTGACTAGTGTGCAATCAAAAGGATCTGGACTTCGCCGATGATATGTGTCTGATTTCCAACAAACTGAAAGATATGCAAGCGAAAAGCAACAAGTTGGCAGAAGAAGCATCCAGAGAAGATATGACTTCAAATGAACATAGATAAAACAGAGGTGATGAAGATTCCTGGGCAACACCACCACCAACAACAGACAACAATCAGCATAAGTGGAAGGAACCTGGAGGAAACAACCTCCTTTACCCACCTGGGAAGCACCGTTTCAACTACAGGCGGACGGAACTGATGCGGATATCAAAGCAAGGATCGGGAAAGCAAGACAAGCTTTCACTACTCTCAAGTCTGTGTGGAGATCAACAACACTGCTCAGCATGAATATAATAAAATCTGGATTTTCAACTCCAATGTGAAGTCAGTACTATTCAACATACGGATCAGAGAGTTGCACTGCACGTCATGAAGAGCACCTCAAACAAACTCCAGACCTTCATTAACAGTTGTCTTCGCTCAATACTCTAGATCAGATGGCCGGCCAGAAAAGATGAGCAACAGAGATCTCTGGCAATGAGCGAACCAACACAGCAGGAACCGTTTGTGCAACAAATAGGCAGGAAGGAATGGAGATGGATTAGCCATACTCTGAGAAATCAAACCATCAAGTGACATTACTAGACAAGCCATCGCTCGAGTGGAACCCGAAAGCGAAGGAAGCGGCGAGTTGGTCGTCAGTGCAAGGGTGACTTGGAGGAGGTCATGTGAAGAGGAGATGAAGGCGTGTGGACAGCAGACTTGGAGCCAGGTGAAGACTCTAGCAGAGAACCGAACTCAGTGGAGACGCACGGTTGAAGCCCTATGTTCCTCTAGGAATAAAAGGAAACAATAATTATAACATAATAAACCTTTTATTATTCCTGGTATCGTATACAATTTTGACAAATCTGTTTTCACGACGTTTATCATTGTTTTCCATGAAACACTTCAAGTTTTGCATGATGAAATTAGCATCACTTTAAATCATCATAGTAACAGCAAAGAAAGTGGAATACTAAACTGATGAGTGCTTACAACAGTTAAATCGTAGACTGGAAAGTGTGCCCGCTTCACTAAAACTGATTTTAAATTAAAAATGCAGTTAAATCCCTGCAAACCAAATACTTGAATATCACTGACGGAAAGTTTCACTTCCTCGACATCGCCTTGGAACGCCTAGAAGACGGTAGTCTTCAAAAGTCAATTTATCGAAAGCATACATGGAAAGGACAATACTTCATTTTAATAGCTTTTGTCCAAATAGCTTTAAACTTGGTCTAGTCAAGACTCTGGACTATAGAGCGAGGAGAATATGCTCCATAGAGAAATAAGAGGAAGAATTTGATTTTCTTGAAAAGATATTGAAGAGCAATGGGTACCCTCAAAGGTTCATCAACAAGTATGGAAGATCTGAAGTCACAAATGTAAAACAAATCACAGTGGGTAAAAAGCCGATCTACTTTGAGCTTGATTATAAAGGCGAAAACATTGCAGCGATGATCAACAGAAGGCTGAGTACATCACTAGCCATAGCCTATCCTGCAGCTAAGCTCGTTCCCGTCTATCGAACAACTTGCTCTTTGATGCAATCAAAAATCGATAGATATCCTTCTCATGTTAACTCCAACTGTATATGCAAATTTACATGTATCTGCGGGAGCGGTTACATTGGAAGAGCATATCTACGATTTTCTGAACACGTACCCAAAAGCTTATGTCTACAGCTGGGAACAAATGCTTTAAACAGTGCCATCCATCGCCAGGCATCTCCTCGACACGGGTCATGAGGTGGACGTCGAAAAGTCGTTCAAAATTATCAATAGGCCAAAGAACTCAATTCTCCTTAAGTTTGCTGAAGCCATTTCCATCAAGCGCCTAAAACCTGATTTATGCGTCCAGAAAGAAGCGGTTATCAGTCTTTCTTTGTCTTTGTAGATACATTTCTACTAATTTCTTTGCCCTGTAAGCAGACGACGAGAAGGCAACGAAATAAAAGATGGTACCATTTTATTCTGCTAAAACTGTAGTTTTTGCTTTGTTCAAACTTGAACATCACCCTGATGCTCACTAGTAATCTGGTCCTATTCACGTAGATGGATAGTTACCTGGGTTCCTAGTGGTAGTAGCGGGAAGTCGTGACCAGTGAGGTAGTGCAGGTTGTTTGTGAGGACAAATACTCGCCAGCGATAACACTGACTAGTAGTCAGACTATGTCGTGGATAGGCAGAAGTTGGAATTCATGGACTGTTTGGTTGGGGTCCTAGTGGCTTTTAATAGTCTACGAGCTAGCTCGCCTTGTAACCGGAAGTTCCTGGTTTCGAACCCCGGTGGGTGTGTGTACTGATGAAGTGTTCCAAACTGGGGCAACGGAAACAGCTGTCCATAACCCCCTGCAGGTTTCTCAATAGCTCTCTAACCGATATCAGCTCATGATGAAATCCCGTAACCATTCATATCCCTGCAAACCAACACTTGCACATTAAAATTTATAGGTAACCATCACAGTTTTTTCCTTCGAAGTCCTTAGTTATCAGGTGACTTTTGGGAATTATTCTCGCCACATATATAAATGCATTTAGTGTATAATTTCGATCCAGTTAACAAGTTTTGCCGAGCATCATAATCAGATCTGTGCAACACACTGTATATGTGTATAGTCTGATAATAATAATTTGCTTTATTCCAAAACAGTACCTGTGATACACAATGGAATTCTCGGCATTTTCACTACAGTATTGCATCCAGTTAGTACATTATCAATAAATGAAATTCTACATAGATTAAGGGTAATCTCAGTTCATTATAACAACAACATATTGGCATGTCGGTAGCAAAGCCAAAGTTGAACTGTGTTTGAAGGTATTAGAAAAGTAGGAGCTATCATATTTACTGGCCTAAGCGAGAGAAAGAAACAAAGCAGAACTTAACGGAAAAGAAAAGGAGAGAGAGAGAAAAGAAAGAAAGAAAATGTTGTACCTATAAATGATATGAGTTGGAAAGACGAGATCCAGTTGTTCTGCTGACTATTTAATAAGTTATAGGTATCACGCCTAATGCTTTCTTTATCACACAGAACACGAGCTAAGTAGGGTATGGTTGAGTTTTTGTACTTGCTGGTGCGAGCATATAGTTTTCTATATAGGCTTCTTGTCCTGCCTGATGAGATGCAAGGGGAGAGTTGTGAATGAAGAGGGTGGTGTGAGTTAGATAAAATGAATTTAGCCCATTTTTCACATGAGTCCAAGTGCCTGTCAACCAGAATATTAACAAGCTGGTTAAGTGGCACGTTGCTTACCCTGCTGACAACCTTTAACACCCTAAGTAATAAGATATAGTCCTTCTTCATTAGCCCTGGAAAAACTAAGGGGGAACAATAGAGAATAATACGCAGGATGCAAGAGTCAACGAATCGTAAGAGTAAGGGTTGGGTTATTCCAGAAAGTTTTAACTTCTTGATGTAGAAGGTAAGACGGAATATTTTCTTAGAAATCGTCAAGATATGAGACGACCAGGAGAGATCAGCAGACAGAATGACTCCTAGGTATTTAATTTCCGACTTGGTTTCTATTTCAGTGCCGTCTATGTTGCTCACCTCGTGAGAGCTAACCAGTTTGTTTAGGTGAGATTTATGCCTAAAGGTGAAATTGACTGTTTGGCATTTGGAGGGGTTTAAGGTAAGACCGTTTTCGTTGGACCAGAATTGATATATCTACTTTTCATTTGTTCGACGTCAAAAGTTTTGCAAGACATTTGTTTTATCTATGGAAATATCATGTTTTCTCGCCTTTCCTTATTATTATTATTATTATTATCTGTCAGGATTGTCATTATACAATACGTGGTGGTCGGTGTGTGTTCAATGATTCAGATACTCCGTCATATCAATCGCCAATTATTACACTCCAACTGACAATATCTCCATCACAGTCGAAATCTGTGCCACCATTACTCAGTTTAGGACAGGTGGAAAATTTATTTCATGAATGGGGTCATGCCTTGCATTCAATGCTGGCGCGTACACGATATCAGCATGTCACGGGAACACGGTTAGTTAGTCAAAAAGAAAAACGTTTTGCTTGGTTTCATCTGTGTAAATTATTTCTTATTTTTTATTTTTTGATAAATAAAAATCTTTTTATGAAATCTTACCTGGTTAAAAGGCGAATGTACTAAATTTTAAAAAATGTGTAAAATCTACACTGTCAGATGTGCGTATTTTCTTTCACGAGTGTGTGTATATTTTATCACTG